ATCAAACACGAACGTTTTCAAAGTCTAAAGCCATTGCCCTAGTTTTTAGGGTTTTGCTCTTGCATGTCCCCTGTCCCTCCAGACACCCATTTATACTGGTAGGCCTTAAACCTTCCATCTTCCTGCTTCAGTCTCTCAAGTAGCTAGAATTACAAGCCTGTGGCACCAGGCCCAACTTGGCTAGCTCTTAAGATATTCCCCTAGGAGCTGGGAAGATGGGTCAGTGATTAAATCGTAAGTGGCCCAGAGTTCAGATTCCCCTGAGACTCAGGGAAATAATGGGTGGCCATGGTGGTCTACTTGTAATTCTAATGTTGGTGCACAGGAATGGGTTCCCGGAGCAAGCTGGCTATGGAGGCAAGCTGGCTATGGAGGCAAGCTGGCTATGGCGGCAAGCTGAATTGGTGAGTTCTAAGTCTGGTTGAAAGACTCTAATTTAAAGAATAAGGTGGAACAGCAATTGAGATTCTCCATATCAACCTTGAGCCTTCGTGTGCACGCGTGCACACATGAAACATGCAAACATACCACTTGCACATATTGTGAGAAGGAGAAGAAAGGCACACAAACACGCATGTGTGCACGCACACAAACACACACACACACACACACACACACACACACACACACACACACACTTTCCTCACCAGACTTTGGATGCCTTAGGACAGTTAATTCTCATCCTTGAACCTCAGAAGTGTTCCACAATTCCACTGAAGACCTGCCACACAGCTAATACACTCTGATGGGCATGATGAGGAAACACAAATCCATGTTGTTGCCTGACTGAAACCACATGTTCTCAATTCCAACCTTCTCCCTTCTGTTTCATCTTCTAAAATCAGCAGTGCAGACCTCTGAAGTCTGTTGAAGATACCATATGATTTCATGTGTCTCTCTGCCTTTAATTTTTAAAATTCTCATACCACCCACTTTGGACAAGGAGAGCTCACACCTACCAGTTCTTAAATTCCAGGTCATTTGTAATCTTCGCCGAGGAACCCTAACAGTCAGTCTCCACTATCCCTCTTTTGTGTCCCCAGAGAATCAGCTATAGGCCAGACAACTGCAGCATGAGAAATAAATGACTCAGAAACTGATACTGGGGTTCAAGCTTCAAGCTGAAGACCAGAAAAGCAAAGCAGCTGGCCACTAGCTCTTACCTCTACCTCAGCTCAGACCAAAGGGGTGATCCTCAGACTGCTCCCGACTTCACTGCTCCTCAGATTCACTCAGACTGCTATGCGCTCCTCAATGTGGCTAGAGACTAATCTTCAGAGTGAATATCTCTACCTTTTATGTCTCTCAAATCTTGGGATTAAAGGTGTGAGCTCTTATTCACTCTCCGGTAGCCCAGGGTAGTCTTGGACTCAGAGATCCATCTGCCTTTCTCCTGAGTCTTGGGATCAAAGGTGTGTGCCTGGCTTCTTTGGCTAACTAGTATGGGCTGCTTTGCCACAGACAACAGGCAAATACAGAGTGAAGATATGTTGCTATCTCTTGAAAGAAACAAGATTGATATTGCCTTTCAGATTGATTTTTAAGTGCTCTTAATTTTTAAAAGTATTTTATAAGTAACATTATTAGTATTACATTATGTGTATGTGGTGAGTGTAGACAGAAGTTTCTGACCCACCTGGTCCTGCAGCTGTTTAGTCCCAAAAGAATACACAGAGCCTTATATTAATTATAAACTGTTTGGCCAGTGGCTCAGGCCTCTTATTGGCTAGCTCTTTCTTAATTATTAACCCATGTCTATTAATCTTTGTATCTCCAAGTGACCTTGGTTTACCAGAGAATTCCCAGCATCCTATCTTCCCAGTAGCTACATGGTGTCTTTCTCTTGACTCACCCTCTGTGTTCTTTTTCCCAGAATTCTCCTAGTCTGGTAGCCCTGCCTGTACTTCCTGCCAGGCCATATCCTGCCTGTCCATTGGCCAAAACGGTCAAACAGCTTTATTCATTAGCCAATAAAGAGAAACATGCATTCACAGCATACAAAAGGACATCCCCCACCAGGTGGGGGCTGCCCAGTGAGGTGAGAGGAACGCATTGGGTCCCCTGGAGCTTGAGTCACCTGCAGATCCATGTTTTCAGGTCCAAATGCTCCAGTTTATGCAACTCCAAATTGGAAATTATTGTAAATAGCTAATGGGAGTAGTATGTAAACTCCCATCAGTAGACTCCACACCATGATAGAAGCCCATAGCCCTTCAATCTATTTTTGACATGTATGTGCTTTAAGTCAAAGTACAGCAGGTAAGGCACGCCTTTATTATTTTTTTTTTACCTGTTCCAAAAATGTATTATCAGTTGAAATGACCAGAATAGAGAGGGTCCATTTCGTTTAATGGATTATAAGTGTCTTGCCTGGCTGTTGCCTGTTTCTGGGAAGCCTGTTCAGAAGCCACAGGACAGGACGTCTTTATGAACAGGATACTACCTACCTTTGTATGAGTTTCCACAATTTCGGTTTTCCTCAAACACTTATGCATTTCAGCCACTAGGGGGCAACGTGGTTGAATTCCTTTGTCATGACCGAGCATGGGTGGTGTCTCCTTGATAGGTCCTTGACTAAAATGTTGAGCACCCCTAAAATGTGTTGGGAAGCCTGTGACATAAATACTCACCAACTGGAATTCTTTGAGTTTTACCCGATGTTTTGGAGGAGTGGGGTTTGGAGGAGTGGACTGATTCCAACGTTTCTAAACAATAAAGAGATCAGCTAGAACCAGTTGCCTTTTTAGGTTACTCAAGCCTCACCAGTTTCTAGAAAGAAAAGAAAATAGGCAAAATTGGGCCCTCATGTGACTGTTGTGAATGGTAGACACAGAGAACTGTAAATCAGTAGCATGTGGAGAGGATGTTAACGCAGATGCTATGAAGAATGTGCTCACCTGCCAAATGCAATCCTTCCCGTTGCCTGCAGTGAGTCCCTCCAGATCCTTCAAGGCAGAACCTTGAGTGCAACTTAAGCTTCTGGCTGCCCTTGTCTTTTCACCAGAAATGCTCTCTTATAGGAGTTTTAAAAAATAGTGAGATTAAAAAAGAAAATGTTTGTTTTCAAGTGAGTTGCTGCGCTGAATTTCGACTAAACCGGTAATCTATGATGTTCAAGGGACTCAACCACCTGGCTTGGATTCAAGTGATCTGAGACCTCCAATACCGATTCATCTTTAGGAGATGAACAAAATATGTGTTCAAAGGCAGTACATGAAAATCAATTGACTCTTCTGGGCGAAAACTTGGGTTATCATGGAGCTTCTAAATAGATAGTCTAGCCATCTTGATGATGTAGGTGTCAGGTCATTTGGGGAGTCTCAATTCTGCCTCTAACTAGAGATCATGTTCCAATTATTTCCTTTATTCTCTGAGCATCAGATGTACACTGCTAGAGAGAAAAAATTAGGCAAATGATCTCAAAGTTTCTCATACATCTAGGAAAACAAAGATTTCTTTTCCAGGGAAGTGGCCTTAAGGATTTACCCCAACTTCCATCTTTGTTTGAAGAATGCAGTTAAAATATTTCTTTATGAAATAGGAAAAAACACAACAGTCATGCAAATTGCATATTTTCTCAATCTGCACTTTATTTACCTTCTCTTAGGGCAAGACTAACAAGATCAAGATATGGTTGCATCTGATATAAAAGGATTTTCCCCGATGGAATACTGGCAGGATGTGGCTGTTTAAACCTCATATATAATAAATTGATATCTGCTAGCCTGTATACAGAACAGAAACCCAAACCCATTTTTTTTCTCCCCGGTTGTGCCATGAAGTGGTGCTTGCAATTTCCTCAAAATGAAGAGAAAATAAGTTGGCAGACGCCTCCAGACTACAAACACGACAGCTGCTTTTTTAAAGTATGATTTCTGGTTTATTTTTCTTTGCCATTTTCCCATGTGGAAAGGGGTCCCCAGATGTAAAGAAAACTGACCATCTTTTAGAAGTAAATTGGGTATAAAAGAAAAATTCCATCCCTCACCTCTGGAGAAATCTTCTTTCGCAGAAGGAGGGGTTAGAGAAACAGGGGGGGGGGGGTCGCGTCTTCTTGGTTCCTTTGAGGTAACTGTTCTATAGGCCTGTTTGTGTCCTCAGGCAGGGAGTCATAGTATGAAACCTAGGGACTGCTCCCAAAGGTGCTGGTCAACATAGTTTCTCTCTGAATTACTCGACCCGATACCTGGGTTCTTCCAGAGAGTAGCATCTCACAAAACCTAAAAGCCATCATCCTTTTCAACTGGTACGGTTTCCTCCTCTGAGCCCGTCCTACCGGCAGAAATGCTACTGCAGGGAAATGTTTGGAATGGACAGCAGCTTGGTTCAAGGCTCCCACTGTCCAGCCTCCAGGTCTGCAGACTTGACTTTTTTGTGACTTGTAACAGTAAGTCCACTGATGGGCCTGTGACACTGTGAGCTGGACAAGAACCCCTTCCCACAAAGCCAGGACCAAATTAGTGCAGTGCAATTAATTCAGGGACTTCGGGTTTTCTGTTCTTTTTTCTGTAATGGTGCTGGGGGGGGGGGGTGTCACACTTCGCACCAGGTTTGAATGCCCTCTCTTGGAATATAATCCAGGGAAAGTCTAAATATCTCAGTAACCTCATTTGCCGAATAGAGAGAAAGGACAAGCTGCCCGAAGCCAGGACAGGATGGTGGCACACGAGGAATAGGGCACGGTTCAGGGGAGTGCAGAGTAAGCATCCAGGAGGTTTAAGTGCAGCATAGGCTCTGGTGATCTTAGTTCCACAACAGCGAGCCTGGTGGCCTCAAAAGTGCTCGCCCTTAACTCCGTACACTCCGGAGTCCCGGGGATTCTTGTAGGATGCGTGATGGAGTGAGCTGTGAAAGATGCTCCCAGGGTCCAAAGCTTGTCCTAGACCTGGGCTGGCGGGACGCCAACGGGAACCCCGCCCTGGCGGCTGCCGGGTCCCCGGGGCTGGGCGCTGCTGGCGGAGCCGACGGGGCGGAGAGGAGAGCGGCGGGAGGAGGAGTAGGAGAAGGGGGCCGGTCAAGGGAAGTGCGACGTGTCTGAGGAGCCTTTTTATACCTCCTTCCCTGGAACCCGGCAGCCACCGCCGCCATCCGCGTCTCTGCGCCCTGGACCCAGGCTCCGCCACAGCCGCAGCATGTCGGGGGTCAAGAAGCAGAAGACGGTAGGCTGCCAGCCGCCTGCCTGGCCCTCCCCTCCTGCCCGGGAGCCTCAGTGGGTCCCGCCCTCCCCGGGAGGCTCCGGAGCCGGGAGGGAAGACACGGGTGCCCGGTGACATGCAGGGACGTGGGGCTAAGCCCGCCTTCCCCTCCCCGGGCCGCGCTCCGGGAGCCCCTGGCTGCCGGGTACCGCTGGGAACCTCCGATCCCTGCCCGCCAGAGCCCTCCTGAGCTTGCGAAGTGGGTCCTGCCCGGAAAATAGGACCCGATACGAGGAAAGTCCCTTCTTCCTCCAGTCTCTGTCCACCCTCCCTGTCTTCCACAGGACCTCCGCGCGCGCAGGGTGGGTGGTGGTGGGCTGAGCTTCTGCCAGGTCTGATCTCTGGCCACACGTCAGCGACAGTCACCGGGGTGCTTCTAACTTTGGGACCCTTCTTAGAGTGGACTAATGATAGACTTTCATAGAACTGCAATTATCAAGGCTAACTGGAGGAAATTGCATTTCCATACCGGTAGGCTTTAACCCTCTAGCGTGATTGTCTCCCTGTTGGCATGCGATGGGGAGAGGGAGCTCGGGTTGATAAGGAAGACGAGGGGAGGGTTTCCAGAGGCTGCAGTTTCCTTCACAGCGAATCTGGCAGTTCCCCTTTTCATGGGAAAGATGAGGGTATACTAAAGTTTCTCTCCTCGTAACAACTCTGGCTCTTTTAAAGTCTGCATTTTTAAAAATGACACTGTACTCCAATAAAAGTGGAGGGAAAGCAGAAGCAATCATAGGCTCTGAGTTAGAAGAAACCTTCCAGAGAGTATTTGGGTCACCTCAGATGTGGTCCACAAGCCTTAAATAAAATCCCACCCAGTTAACCCGCTGCTGAACACTGGCCACTAACCACCACATTGAACGCCTCCAATGATTGTGGCTGTGAGTAAATGGGAAGTCCTCTCAAATAATTAAACATATTCTTGTCATGTAGTAGGTGTTCAATAAATGGTTATTATTATCTGCTACTCATGAGTGTACTTGGAGGAGCAGAGTGTTGCTGCGGGCTGGACAACAGGAACTGGAGTTGACAACCAGACAATAGAGTGCTCTGTGTTCTGCGGGGGGGGGGGGGGGGCACACTGGCCCAGGGAGAGTGTCCAGGAGGAAGGTGGCATCATTTGGGGTGTGACAATCCAGCTGCCTCTAGTGGGTAATTTCAAAGTAGAGGGACCCTCAGTGATGTATGTAGTATGTTTTATGACTAGGGCTTGTGCTCCCATGTCGCTGGATCAAAGTCTTGTTAGGTGCCAAGTGCTGTATTCTGCTGTAGCCGTCGGTTTTTTAATGTTGGTGGAATTTTAGTCTTGCCTGCTCCCTTGCATCAAGAACTCCCCATTCCTGGGAGAAACTTTGTCAAGTGTCAGTCAGAAAGTGAACTCTCCTTTTCACACCTCCAGTTAGGGAGAGCCCGTGAAGTACAGGGCGCAGGGCAGGGCCTTAAAATCCATTCTGGAGTCTGCAGTTTCCAGGGAGCAATCGGAGAACCGTCCCATCGTTTGATTTTTGTGTTTACACGATTTGAAACTTCTTTCCGTTTATTTTACGTTGCTGTGCTTCTCCTCCTTCTACTTTCTTCTTCACTCTGAGACAGTGACCATTTAATACCCTAAGAGCTAACTAAGCAGAATTTCCCAACTTTCCCTTAGCCTAACAATTATTTTCCAACAGCTATCCCAAATTCCCACATGGCCCAGGATTTGCTGTTAGTCCCGTCACAGGCTAGCTGTGGGTGCATGTGAAACTGCTCAAACTGTCAATGTTAACTCAAACTGGGTTTTGACACCTTACAGAACAAAACAAAACTTTCCCCACACTTGACCTCTGAACTCATCCGTTACTTAGGAAGTAAGTCTTGCCATTTCAGAAGGCAGCCTAGAGAAGGGCTTTCCTTCATAGACTTGAAGAGACCTTTATGTTGCTTTCTGCCTGGTCAGTTGATTTATACAGAAGCCACCCCAATAACTTCAGACATTTGTGGGGCCCCTTCTGTGTGCCTGATGGTGGTGAGTGTGAAAACTTGGTGGAAGACAGGGGCTGATGACTAGTAAGGATGTAACGAAGTAACCTGAATATTGCATTAGCAAACTTTTGCCAACAACAAGATTTCTTTTCCTCAAAGTCTCTGCCTATTTACTATGTGAATATAGTCTTCTACATCATACCATTCTAGGGCCAGTAAATGGTAAAGACTAAATGAAAGAGTGCATGAAGATGATTCATAAGCTCTTAAAAAAAATCAATGTTCTTTTAATTAAGGAAAGTCGCCCACCCCTTCTGTGTCAGCCATCTTTACCATGGAAACAAAGAAACAGATGCCAATCACATCTTGCTTCTGGCCTTAACTCCAGTCCTGGCTAATCTCCAGCCCTGTCCCCTGAATATACAGATAACCTGGAGAAAGAAAGGCAGGCTGTCTGAGAGGTCAGCAAAGAAGGGAAAGCCAAGCCAGGGTCTCTCCTCTTGCACAGATTACGTTATGATGTTCTGGAGACAGGCAACTGAAAATTACGACTGAGCTATTATGTTGTTTCCTAAAGGGTGAACCAAGTAGGTGTTGTGAATGCATGGGAGGGGAACTAAAACCCCCAGGGCTCTCGGTGGCTCTAGCAATGTTCTGCATTTTCATTATTCTAAAATTGGTGCTTTATTTCCTTGGAAGTAGTTACTTTTAAAAGCAGTTGAAGGCATTGCCTAAGTCAAGACATGAATGTGCAGATGAAACATCTCTGCTTGGAGGGCACAGCCACTCTTCTATAGCTGAGCGCTCCAATGCACTGGGCTTCCCCTCATCCCCACAGCACCCCACACCTTGGAAAGTTACTGAGCCTCACCTCCAGGAGAGGAGAAATGTGGGCAGAGCACGGTTTAACTTCAGGTCTGTTGAACCGGTAAAACTAACACTCACACTCTTCTGCACCTGCTTCGGGAGATGACCTTCTCACTATTGTCTTCTCATGTGTAAAATGGGATAAGAGTGGGTCGATTATTCTTACCATTTGAGACTCCATCTTATGGTGTAGCCTAGGCTGGTCTTAAACTCCCAACCCTCTCAGCTTCACTTCCTGAATGCTGGGATTAGAGGCGTGGTGGCTGACTCCTATCGTTATTATTATTACACTGTACTGCTGTGGTTTGGCATAACTAAGAAAGCACGGGTTACTGGGGGCTGAGTAAATGACAACTACTAGGATGTTTAATAAGAGAAAACAAGTGCAGGCGTATGGAGGTGACAGTTTGAATACTCACTGTGAAAACCTGGGTAGACAGGCAAACACACTTCAGGAACCCAAATGTCTCGCTGCTGATATGTTTTGCTAGCACACTGGAGAAGACAAGCAGACCACGCATAACTAAATATTGGTCTAACTCTCCTCCACCCTTCCTCTGCCTTTGACTATTTCCAGATGTACCTTTAAAAAAAATGTTTTCCAGTTCATGCTATGATTCTCAATAATAGGTTACCTGCTTGGACCTTCACAAACTTAGAGATATTTACCCTTGAGGTTTATGTCTCTGAGCTAGCTATCTTTGTCTTTTATCGCCTTCCTGCTAGTATGCATGGCTCCATGGTTTTCTTCAGGTATAATTAGGCTTAGCTCAACCATGGAACCATGGGGAATGAGATTCTGAGGAAGGAGTAGGTGATGTCAACTTCAGCCCTAAGAGACTTCTGTTTATTTCAAAATCTGCCACTACACACTAAGGGTACCCATTAGACTGTGTTTGGAACTCCTTAGAGACCTCAGAAAGTCAAGGTAAATAAGCTTTAATAGGATGGCAGGTCCACAGACCTTTAGTGCCCAGGCGATTTGTTCTTGTGACAGAAGAGACAGCAATGTGCCCAGCACCGCAACACTGCTTGGCCCACATAAAGTGCCTGAGCCATGTAGACTGAACGACTGAATTCACAACTACAAAATTCATCAGGGACTCAACTTAAAATATGCATTTTTAGTAGAATCTTCCCTTAAAAAGGACAGGATCATGATGGACCCTTTTTATTTTTACGTGTTTGCTTATTTTTGACTAGGGATTTGTCGTTATTGCCCCCTAAAAATTATTTCCCAGGATATTTTGAGGCTGTGTACCCTTTTCCAGGAAGGACTTGCTTTTGATCCTGCCTTCACTCCTGGTCTGCATTCATTAGGACATAACCTCACTCGTTTTGAAGTACCACCCAAATAGTATGAATTAGAGTTTGTACCTAAGACCTACCTTGTGGATGTAACCTTGACAACACGCCCTTCATACACCAGCATTGCTGTCCTCGGAGGGCTAGAAGGTGGCTTTATTCTGGCTCGCCCTTATTTTCAGGGCACGACTCTTAGAAGCCATGCATAACAGGGACGGGGTCTTATGCCTGTGTCCTACACTTTGATTTCTGTTCTGTTTCTACTAATGAGGCTGCTGCAATTAGTGCAAATATGTCCCTTAAGCAAATATGCCCCATAAGGAAAAAAGTGTCCACAAACTTGCTCTTTGGGTTCCCACTTTGTTCCAGATTTCAGCCTGGTAGTTTCTTTCTATAGCTAGATTCTGTTTTTAATTACTATAACAAGCACTTTTAGTTATTATCTGTAGAAGGCTAATGAATGAAAAAAAAATTAAAAAGGAAAGGAAACATGAAAGGAACATGGCTGCTCCTAGATATGGTAGAGGAGGAGGTTTATTAGAGATGTATGTGAGAGTGTAGTCAGAGTCCAGAGTGGTCTGACCAGACTGAACTGTGCCATGTGGGAACAGGGGAAAGGGGGGGTGCGGGGGCCAGGTGCAGCAGCCAGGAGGCCTAAAGGTATAAAGAGGTTGAATAAACAAAACGGTTGGATTACATAGGAAGAACAGCCCAGCCCTCTGGGCTGCTGAGTTGCATTGGGGGGGGGGGTGGAGTGGTGAATCCAGACAGAAGGACCCCGTAACAGGTAGGGACTGAAGGATGCAGGCACCTCAGCCATTTGCCCCAGC